TTAGGGTTTAGGCTTTGAGGGTTTCGGGTTTCGGGTTGGGTGTTTGGGATTTCAAGCTGATGATTCGAGGGCTTATGGTTTAGGATCACGGCCTCGTGGTGTAAAGGGTACGAGTTTAGCTCTTAGTGTGAGGCCCCGTACAGTCTTTTTTTGGGACTTCATCAGGGCTGGGTGTGGATCTTCGCGCAACAGGGTTTAGGGTTTAGGTCTGCAAAGTATAAACGCTCCAACCCTAAAGCCTCAACCCTAAACCCTGCAAGACCGTTGAAAACTCCCTAGAAAGAAACCTTGAAAAACCCCTCAGAGAAAGCCCCTAGAGATGACACAAAGTCTCTTTGCCTGCCTGCTTCGGCCGGACTCAAGCCGATTTCGGGACGGCGGGAACCCTGGGGTTTAGGGTTTAGGAGTTTCGGGGTTTAGGGGTTTAGGGGTTTAGGGGTTTAGGGTTTAGGGAACCCTGGGCCCTAACCTTGGTCCGATGGCATGCCGTAGCCGCTCCCGAACGCCTCCTTGACGACGGAAGGCTCCCGAGGAGCCTACCACGCCACCCCCGGTGCAACAGGATCTGGACAGGCGTCTTGAGGGCTTTGGGTGTAGGGCCTATAGGGCCTATAAACCCTAAACCCTTCTTGGAGGTTCATGGGTCGTTATCAGTGGGGTTAGAAGTAGGTTAATTATACTTATAGCCCATATTCGGGGACTTATAACCCTACTTATAACTACCCATGAACCTCCAAGTATAGGGCCTAAACCCTAAACCCCTCTGGTTCTGTCTTATACTTTCCAATAGTTTGGACCCCGGGTGTTCGGCTTTAGGGATGAAGCTCTCGAGGGAAGGAAGTCGAGGGTTAACGACCCCCAGTAGCCTCAAACCAGGCAACATGGTGCGAATCATATCAAACATATATATATATAACTATATATATATTTATATATATATGTTTTTGATAAGGCTCCGTCTATAGCTGTCTGGGTCTTCAACCCCCTATCATTATGCCCGGAGTGGGGATTGAGCACCCCTGAGGTGGCAGCGGCAGGCCAAGGAAGTCGCGGTGTCGCAGCATTTGTTCTTGACTGGAGAGGCTGGATCTGGAAAGTCATACCTCCTACAGCACCTAGGTTTCCCAGTGGTACCCTTTTGCCCTTTTTATTTGGGAGTTTCCTTTTTAAAGCTGAATGCTTGGAAAAAGGGTACCCTTATTATGAAAGGGGTTACTGGGGAACCTAGGCATCTAAAGGAGAATCTGCGTGACGATCACATCGCAGTGGCAGCTCCAACCTGGAAAGCTGCGTCCAGAATCTGCGGCACTTCTGTACATTGGTTCGCTGGGGTGAATGTTGGAAAGCTTGAGGCATCAGCTGAAGAGGCTCTGAAGTTCATAGAGAGTCGACAAGATTCGGAGGCCGTCCTTGACAGGCTTCGGCGGGTGAAGGTTCTGATCCTTGATGAGGTTTCGATGCTGTGTCCAACAGTGCTTGATAATCTTGAGCAGCTCTGCCGTATGGTACGTGATTCAGAAGCTCTTTTCGGGGGGGTGCGCTGCATCTTCTCGGGCGACTTCATGCAAATCCCGCCAGTTGCAAGCAGCAAGCTCGCGTTCGAGGCTCGATGCTGGAAGGCGTTGTTTGCAGAGCCACGGCAACAGCAGACTTTGCGCAGCCAGCATCGGCAAAGCGAGGATCGCGTTTTCCACGATTTCCTCAAGCGACTGCGGTATGGCTACCTGCATGAAACTGACATAGGCCTTCTGCTTGCGGCATCAGGCCGCGAAGGAGCATCTGAGTGGTTATCTATGTTTGCCAAGAATGAAGAAGTGGAGAAAGTGAATGAATCGAGGTTGCGAAGGCTAGAAGGAGAGGCCGTCCCTTTCGATGCACAGGATGACTTCCATCCGGACGTGACTGTCCAGAGCAGGAAGGAGTTGGAAGTTGGCCTGGATGAGCAGTGCCCTAGACGGCTGGTACTCAAAGTCGGGGCACCAGTGCGCCTCACACATGTGCAAAACACCAAAGCAATTCACAGAGGAATGGAGGGCATTGTGATTGGTTTCGAGGACAGGGGGCCTGTTGTGCAGCTGCATGGCGGCGGTGGCACACTGACGGCAGAGCCACGCATCGGTGCTTACATCCAATCAGGGGCCGGGGGACCATGGCTTGCAAGGAGGAAGCAAGTCCCATTGGCCCTCGCGTGGGCCACCACCTTGCACAAAGCGCAGGGGATGACGCTCACGCATGCGGCGACGCATGTGAGCGATGTGTTCCAAGATAATATGGGCTACGTAGCTTTGAGCCGGGTGTCGAGTCACAGCGGCTTGAAGTTGATTGACCGATTGGACAGCATGACCTCCATGCAGTTGCGGAATTGGCTCGACCGGAAACTGTGCCAAGCTTGCCCAAAGGCATCGGCATTCCACATGAGCATGCTGGATGCGCAGGACAAGTGCCAGATCGAGGGGGGGCGGAGAAAGTTTCGGCAACTGCTGGACAATGACAGCCTTTGGAAAGGAGCTCTGCGTAAGGCCGGCTTCGTCGAGGGGGCTAGCTACCAGTACTCAGACTCTCGCCCTGACTGGGCTGTCCATCAGTACGGTGATCGCTGCTTCAAATGCGGCAAGACCGGCCACTGGTGGGCCCATTGTCTGGAGTGAGCAGCACAGCTATCGCACAGGATGCATCAACAGCATCGACTTTGTTTTATCATGTTTTTTGCGTACGGTAGGATTTCAATCCACAGCACCTCTGAAAGAGGCCACTCATCAGGCTTGGAAGAACAGAGAAAACCTGTCTGTCGCTCGTCTGCAAGAGTGGATTCCTCCAGCCTAGATACCTTATACAACAAGTTCTAAAGCCCATTTTTCAAGCTTCTGAAATCCTCATAGAGACTCAATAGAACCGTCATGAAAAAAAACATGTCAAACGGCATAAGTTGAAGGTTTGCGCAGGTCGCAGTTTGCATCGTGGCTGCTTACCGAGGTGTTGTACTGCCGAAAAGCCGGGTGCTTGGCGCAGGGTATAGGGTCGTAGTATTGCGGCTTTAGGGCTGTGAGGTCTCGAGGGCTTTCGTGTCTTAGAGTCTGTCTTAGAGTTGGGTTGAAGGGTTTAGGTTTCAGGTTTCCCTAACCCCCCAGGTACCTACTATATAGGGTACTAGAGCCCCTAGGCCCCCATATAGTAGGTACCTGGGAGGTAAGGGTTTCGGGTTTGTGCAGAGATTTTCATGACATTCGCCGCCGGCCTTGACGGTGCGCTGCGATTCCACCATTTGTGTGTCGTCCAGCGTCCTGTGTGGGACCCTGGGATTTGAGAAGCTATCTATCTAATGTAGAGGCTTGAATAATTGAATAATTACCAACACCATTTTTTTTTGGGGGGGGTTCCTTATTGTAAGTATAGTAGAATGGGCCCCGAAACCCTATTCTAAAAAATTGAGGCCCCTTTTTTAAAGTCCTCGACGCTGCTTATGGAAGGCCCTAGGCCCTAACCTGAAGCCGAAGCCTACCCACAGGCCCCTAGGTGGTTCCTTCTTTTGTGGGTTTGTATTCAGAAGGGTTTAGGGTTTAGGGTTTAGGGAGAATCCTATAAGGTAAGCCCAAAAAGGAACTACTTAGGGGCCTCTGGGTAGTGCTAAACCTGTGGCAAAAGCATTCGAACCCTCACCTAAACCTCCTGGCGTTCCCGGAACGGAAAGCCAAACATATTCCATCTTTTCCCCGAAACCCTAAAGCCTAAACTTGGACCTAAGCCTTTATAACCGTATACTGAAAATTCAATATTCTTGGATCATCCCCGACCGAAACCCCCAAACCCTTCAACACTTAGGGTTGTGGGTTTAGGGTTTATGTTTTTAGCCGTTAAAGCTGTGTTTCAGGTTTTGTTGAGGGTTTCGACTTTATGTTCTTAGGATTTAAAGAAAGATTTTTCAGACTTGTTTGAGGGTATAGACTGTATGTGTTTAGGGTTTAAAGCTTTTTCAGGTTTTATTGTGGGTTTATGTGTTTAGGGTTTAAAGCTTTTTTCCAGGGCTTATTGAGGGTTTAGACTCGAAACCCGACTCTTCCTCAACCCTGGTCATTAATAGTAATCTTGTGTACTGTTTGCGGTCTTCGTTTGTAGTACAGTAGATGAAAAGAGTTAGGGGCTTGTATCAGAAAATCAACCTAAGGAGCCCTAAGAAGTTGTTTAGAACAGCCGTGGAACATAACATTATAGAACGATCACAAATCATAACCATACTATCCTTTTGGAAGGAACCCTGAATAGGATCCTTTTAGAGGTGCCCTACTCGAGTTCTGACGGCCCCTGTAGGGTTTAGGGTTTACCTGGAGGGTCGGGAGACGTAGTAAGTAGTTATTTTGTAGAGATCTAAGTTTCAAAACCCTAGTTAGGATCCCTAATAGGGTACTTATAAGTCTACTTATTGCCCACTTACTAAGTCCCCCGACCCTCCAAGTAGACCCTAAACCCTAAAACCCTAAAACCCGAAAACCTTAAACCCTAAAACCCTAAAAACCCTAAGCCCTAAAACCCTAAAAACCCTAAAACCCCGAAACCCTAAAAACCCTAAAACCCTAAGAACCCTAAAACCCTAAATCCTAAAACCCTAAAACCCTAAACCCTAAACCACTAAACCTACAAACCTTGACAAGGGCGGATGGGACTCCGGCTTTTGGTCCACCTCGGGCGGACGCGTCCTGGAGGACGGAGCCAGTGATTTTCAGGATCCTTTCAGTAACACTTAGGATGTAATGGGGGTGGACTTTTTTTCGTTTTTTTTTTGAAGGGTGGTGTGTTGATATGATCTTAAGCCTCTCAGGCTTGTCGGTTTTAGAGTGTTCTAAGGGATTTTAGAGGATTTCGTGAGGGTGTTTTATCAGCGTTCCAGAACTAAGGTGATGTTCAAGTAGGTGAGCTTTCCGGTCGTCATCATCAAGAACAGCAGCAGCAGCAGCAGCATCGGCATCATCACCGCCCTAAAGACCCTAAACCCCTAATTGCAGGAATTATATCATCAACCGTAGTTGTCTAATTTAGGGTCCCTTTTAGGGTCCTTAAGGAAATGCTAAGGATATATATGGGGGTTTCCAAAAATTCGGGTACCTTATTTTGGGGTCCTTATAATAAGGATCCTACTATTTAGGGTACTATATTATGGTCCCCTATTTTCGGAAACCCCCATATCATCAACTGCATCCATGTTCTCGACTTGATCTCTCATCAGGAAGCCTCTTTTGGGTTTCAGTAGGGTTTAGGGTTTTAGGAGTTTAGGGTTTAGAGTTTCGGGGTTTAGGGTTTAGGGTTTTAGAGGGTTTAGGCTGTAGGCTTTAGGGTTTAGGGTTTAGGGTATAGAGTTTTGGGGTTTAGGGTTTCAGTAGGGCAAGGGGGGGATAGTTGAGGGCCTGGAGTTTAGGGTCTTAGGGGGCTTAGGACTTCTTTTTTGGATTGTCTTGCCATCGAAGCCTAAGGCAAGGCGCCCTTTGAAAGAACAAGCTATTGGAGGATCTGGGGACATAGTAAGTAGGTAATAAGCAGATGACTAAGTACCTCAAAAGGGATCCTAATTGGGGATACGCTACTTCTAACTCTATGGAAATAGTTCAAAATAACTAGTTACCAAGTCCCCCCGACCCTCCAAGTAGTGGTTTTACTTTGGGCTGACCCAGCTCAAACGCACCTTCCCAGAGAGCCCAAGACCACTCAATTCAGGAAGATTGCTTAACCTTAGGGTTCGGAGTTTAGGGTTCTTGTAAGGGTTTGTAATAGGGTTTGATCTCGCTTAATCAAGTCCCTAAACCCTAAGCCCTAAACTCCTAAACCCTAAACCCTAAAGTCATAAAGTGGATCCCGGACAGTTTAAGGCGTCGTTCCTGGATTACTTAAGGGACAATAGCAGGGACCCCCAGAAGGGACCCCTTAATCCCAGTACCCTATATAGCCCTTATATACCCCTTATATAGTCTCCTTATATCCCCTACAAAACCCCAAGGGTCTCTCCTTTAGTCCCTTGAATTAGGGCCCAGAGAATCCAAAACCCCTTTTTTTTAAGGAATATGGCCCTAAAATTATAGGGGCCTTAAAATATTCTGATTTAAGGTATATTCCTTAATCCTTAATCCCAGTACCCTATATAGCCCTTATATAGCCCTTATATCCCCTACAAAACCCCAAGGGTCTCTCCTTTAGTCCCTTGAATTAAAGGGGTACTGGACTCCCTGGGTCTCACCTCACTTCAACCCGAGGCTCTTCTTGGAGGGTTGGGAGAGACGTACACTAAGCTCTGCCTTAATAGTTAGTAAAAAGGTTCCTTTAAAGGGCTCCTTTAGGAACTGTAGGGTTTAGGGTTTAGGGTTTAGGGTTGATGATAAAAAATCCCCTTTTAGGGTTCCTTAAAGGGATCTACAAGGGTTTCGGTAGGGGTTCCATAAGGGTACTATAAGGGTTTCTATTTGGGTAGTTTACAAATCCTGCATTACCTTAAGGACCCTAAACTGTGGGATTTGTGGTATAATCGTTATTATGGGTACTAAGGGCACCATAAGGGTCTCTAATTGGGTAGTTTATAAATCCTGCATCACCCATAATAAGGAATATACCAGAATTCCCATAGTTTATGGTCCTTCAGCTAATGCTAAGGATTTATGTCGTCAACAGTGGTACCCAGTTATTTCATAGAGGTATAAGTATCTTAAGCCCCTGAACCCCCAAGCCCCAAACCCATAAAGCCCTAAAGCCTAAAACCTCAAGCTTTAAAGCCTACTTACTAAGTCCCCCCCCCCCCCCCCCCCCCCCCCCCCCCC